GTTGTTATTGGTAAGTAATGTGATAGAGGGATGCTAAAGGAAATTAGCAAGATTACAAGCTTCCAGCCAATGTTCTTATTTACCCATGAGTGAGAATTCAGTATTTTATGGGGTTAATGTTCTCTATTTCAGATATTATAGATGATATTCCATCAGTAGTGTTGTATGATACCACTGGTAAAGCCGATGTCTGTATCAATGCATTGTTAGTCAGTGAAGGCATTGCTAAAAGTACTGGACCAAAGTAAGTCTTTTTAATATAACAGTCTATTATGAGATAGAATATTGTTAGTAATAATAATCTACAGAATGCTTTTCTGTCACAATGGATTTAATAACTGGCAAATCTGCTGTGCGAGTTCTCGAGGTATCAATCAAAAAACAAAATGCATCTAATGTCTCCATTCTTTTCATTCGCATGATATTTAAAAAAAATGATATTCAATATTACTGGGATTTTGTTTATTGTGAATCAAAGTGTGTATTGTATTACAGTTCAGCCAGTGATAAAGCCGTTATTCAGCCTGTAGAAGAGAAGGAAAAAGCACCTTCCATGCCAGTGGGTCCAATAGCTACTGCCGAGAAGCATCCAGCTAAATACAAACCTAAGTGTAAGCCAGCAAATAATGTTGCTTACACTGAAGTATTGGTCAGTCATATTGAATCACCAGCATGTATATTTGCACAGCTCGCCACAGCAGAGGAGGATGGACTCAGTATGTAAGTTAAGAGAAAAATGATAAAACGAGATGCTAACTTTGACAATGTCAGATTAACCATTAGCTTAAAAAATATATTTTAAAAAAATTACCAAGTTCTTTATACTGTATGATAGTAGTCATTATGTTACATGTTTTTTTTTTCTATGGTTAAAATAATCAATATACAACAAATTTGTATACAACAAATACAATTTTTACTTGCTTCTATTAGAGATGCGCTCCAATAAAGCAATGTGGTAGTGACTTTTTGGTGTTGGTCATAATGAGCTGGTACCAGTGTTTTTCTACAAGAAATGAATTTCTTGTGATTGTCTCTCTTGTGTTCCACAACTTGCCCAGTGACATCAAAACTCGCACAGCAAAACATCATCTGTTCAACTTTTTCCATTTGAAGTTTAAAAAAAAATCAATGCTTGATTTTATAGCAAAGTTGCTCATGCAGTGCCACTTAGAAAGAACGCTACTAAGTATTTGTGGGTTATAAACCCTAGTAAGTGCAGTTTATTAACTTCTTGTAGTTTTCTTATTCCTGACAAGTTACAAAATATAATTTAAAAGTAATGTATCCATTAATGAAGATGTAACCTTAAGGTAGTAATCTTGGCTGTAGCAATAAATAGACCTTAGAAGAAAATGGTTGCCGAGATCTCATTGAGAGTGAGAGCATTGAGACTTGTTTTTGTCCCTCAAATAGTATTCTATTCTCTAGTGTTCCAACACTACATGGGCTGTCAACGAGATTTCTGAAGCCATTTACGTCTACCGTCTATGATCAACTTTGTGATATGATTGCACAAGCACAAAATATAGAAACAAACAAAATTGCTTTATTTTAGGTTAATGAAGTCCATCACAAGTTATTACAATGCTTTGGAAGAAATTGAAGAAAAAGAGTGGGAGGAAGGAGACATGTGCGCTGCACTGTTTGTACATGGAGAAGTATGGTGTCGATCTAGGATTATATCATTGCTACCTGGAAACCTGTGTGTGGTAAGTATGGTGTCGACCTAGGATTATATCATTGCTACCTGGAAACCTGTGTGCGGTGAGTATGGTGTCGATCTAGGATTATATTATTGCTACCTGGAAACCTGTGTGTGGTAAGTATGGTGTCGATCTAGGATTACCGGTATATTATTGCTACCTGGAAACCTGTGTGTGGTGAGTATGGTGTCGATCTAGGATTATATTATTGCTACCTGGAAACCTGTGTGTGGTAAGTATGGTGTCGATCTAGGATTATATCATTGCTACCTGGAAACCTGTGTGTGGTAAGTATGGTGTCAATCTAGGATTATATCATTGCTACCTGGAAACCTGTGTGTGGTGAGTATGGTGTCAATCTAGGATTATATCATTGCTACCTGGAAACCTGTGTGTGGTGAGTATGGTGTCAATCTAGGATTATATTATTGCTACCTGGAAACCTGTGTGTGGTGAGTATGGTGTCAATCTAGGATTATATCGTTGCTACCTGGAAACCTGTGTGTGGTGAGTATGGTGTCGATCTAGGATTATATCATTGCTACCTGGAAACCTGTGTGTGGTGAGTATGGTGTCGATCTAGGATTATATTATTGCTACCTGGAAACCTGTGTGTGGTAAGTATGGTGTCGATCTAGGATTATATCATTGCTACCTGGAAACCTGTGTGTGGTAAGTATGGTGTCGACCTAGGATTATATCATTGCTACCTGGAAACCTGTGTGTGGTGAGTATGGTGTCGATCTAGGATTATATTATTGCTACCTGGAAACCTGTGTGTGGTAAGTATGGTGTCGATCTAGGATTATATCATTGCTACCTGGAAACCTGTGTGTGGTGAGTATGGTGTCGATCTAGGATTATATCATTGCTACCTGGAAACCTGTGTGTGCTAAGTATGATGTAGATCTAAAATTGTGGCAAATTATTTACAAATGTTTGTGGGTTTACTTTTTCTAAGACTGCGCCCGAACAGGGACTTATGGATTGCCCTGCATGCATGCATACATGTGCACGCCCAGACATACATCTTAGATACGCTGGACCAAACATGCATTCAAACATTACACATACAACATACATATGCTCATCATTTGTTTCACAATCTGATTCAAAATGGCCGGATAGCAAGCATTGTAATTTGTACTAATAAAGCATTTCTTTGCTGTTTATAGATGGATTTTGTTCAAACTTGGTACATACAATTAGACATTATGAGTCCCTGATGTATGTCATTTTGTTTTTCAGATCAGATTCAAAATGGCCGACTGGTGGTCATTTTGTTTTAATGAATGTGGTTCGAGTGCCATGTCTCTGACATGCTTTGACTGATTATGTTATGATGTATTGATTTGATTCAAAATGTCTGAATGGTGGCAATTTTTGTCCACAAAAATCAAGCTTTTCTGGCATTCCGGTTATGACTGACCGATGGCCATTTTGTTTTAATTAATGCTGTTCAACAGCAATATCTCTCAATATGTGCCATGCATGGCTTTAATTCTAATTTTTAATTCTGTATTTTAATTTTGTGTTTATTTAGGTTCTCTACATTGACTATGGTAATTCTGAAGTTATAACTCTTGACAGTTTACGCGTATTAAAACCAGAGTTCATGATTCCTCCCCCATATGCAATATGTTGTCATTTATCTGGGATACAGCCAGCTGGTGGAAAAAATTGGACAAGAACCGCTTGTGAATTTTTAGTAACACTCATTTGTGGTGTTCAATGTTTCCTGATTCAAAAGGTATGACTTCTATTTCCTCAAACTATTAAAATGATGAATTTATTGTTCTTGAAATAATTTTACATTCAGATGATTAATATTTTGAATAAATTATACTATGTTTAAAGTGCTTAGGCCAATTTTATTCAAACTTTGTATTTACATCACTGATCATGGGATTTTAATACATGTCATTTTGTTATGCATTTTGATTCAGCCATACTCAAAGTGTCAAAGCAATTTTACTTTTGAGTTTCAATGAAATTTAACCAACTGATATTTTGTTGTATTTTTTAAATACTTCCTTTTCTCTTACACTCTTAACCAAACTTTATAAGTTTAAATTTGATAGAAAACCAAAATGTGCATGCCAATTTTTTTTGTCTTTCCCATTTGTGTCCTCAAATCAAATTTATTCAAATAATGACAAGAACTTTGTTCTTGACAGTTAATGACTTAATAATTACTCTGGTTCCTGAGATTCTCAGTTATATGGCCCATACTTTTATGAAACATGCCTGTTTCAAATATATCCAAGCTTTCATGTGCATTTTCAATAAGGGTTGTTAAGTCCCCAGTATGAGAGAACTCTCAACTTTTCTCTCTTGAAAAAGAAAAAATAGCTGTTGCGCAATTATTTGCAGGCAGAATATGGTGATGAAGGAGTAGCCACCACTGTACCAATTGATTTGCTTTATGAGTCCCCCACTACTATAGTCACAAGTGATACAGACAAAGCACCAGAGCCAGTATTAGAAAGTGCTGTGCAGACTATGATATTGCAAGGACTCGCTTTGCCCTGTCGACCGTAAGTGTGATTATCCTTGTATTTTTCCAGGGGTCTTGAATGTATCATGATCATCATGGTTTTCGGTATATCCTTGGACAATAATGTTTTTGGATGCCTTCAGGGTTTTTTGTTAGTCCCCGTTCGGACACAGTCCAATACGGGGACTTATGTTTTGACCTCTGTGTGTCCGTGCGTGTGTGCGTGCGTCCGGACCTGTATCTTAGAAATGCCTGGACCAATCACAATCAAACTTCACACATACATCATACATGATATCATACATATGCATGTCAATTTGTTTCATGATCTGATTCAAGATGGCCAAATGACGGCCATTTTTGTGCTAAAAATCATCAAAATCGAGCATTTCTCGGTTGTTTACAGATGGATTTTGTTCAAACCTTGTATATACGTTGGAAATTATAGGACCTTGATGCACATTATCTTGTTTTACGATCTGATTCAAGATGGCCCAATGCCGGCCATTTTTGTGCTAAAAAATCATAAAAAGCAACCATTTCTCGGCTGTTTACAGATGGATTTTGCTCAAACTTGGTATATACATTAGACATTATGGGACCTTGATGCAAATAATTTTGTTTTTCAGATAACATTCAAAAAGGCCGGCTGGTGGCCATTTTGTATTAATCAATGTGGTTCTCGTGCCATATCTCCAACTTGTTTTGACTGATTATGTTCAAATTTTAAATATTCGTTATTCATTATACATCATGTCATATATTGCTTTGACGATCCTATTCAAAATGGCTGAATGGTTGTCATTTTTGTACTAAAAAATCATCAAATATCAAGCATTTCTGGCATTTCTGGATGGATTTCATTCAAACTTGGTACATACAAAAATGTACATTAGAAATTACGGGTTCCTGATGCACGTCATTTTATTTTTCAAATCAGATTAAAAATGGCTGTCTGGCGGCCATTTTGTTTTAATGAATGGGTTTCCAGACCCATATATCTGACTTGC